GGACTGTAATCGTCCTAGTCACTGCCCATACACTCGGTTCCCCAAATGCCCTGTGTCCTCCAACTGGCCTCATGGCTCATGAGGTTCCCCTTCATCTCCCTCCTGCCTCCCTGCCTCTGCGCATGCTCTCAGGAATGCTGGGAGGCAGCTGCTCCTGCCAGGGAGAGGTAGCAGGATGGGCAGGGAGGGAGGATGGCTCCTGTCTTGTCTGAGAGGCTCTAGAGATGAGGCAGGACCTTGGAGCCACTGACCAGTGGAGTGAGCCTGCTGAAGGTAGGGAGTGGCTGGGGGAGTTGGCTGCTCCTGATGCTGGCCTCTGCCCTCCCTGTGCACGGTGCTGGTCAGCCACCCCATCTGTTCCTCAACATGCCCTGCTGCTGACTCGGTGCCAGGCATGATGCCAAGAACCAGGAACGCGAAGATGAATGAGACCTGGTACCTGACCTGTGAGCTCATGGGAAGAGCATCGTCCACAGCTGTGATTCAGCAGCCTGAGTGCGCTGAAGGGAAGATGAGGTGCTGTGGCCACTCACAGGAGAGCACTCACTGGGCCCGGGGTCGCCTGCAGACTTCCAGAGGAGGCCACCCCTGGGTCATGCAGGGTGAACAGGAGTTGACCAGGCAGAGAAGCAGGGCTGGGTGGGAATGGACGCAGGAGGAACACGCAGAGGCCGAGGTGCCACGTGACTTCTGGGAATGACGAGTCTGCATTTGGGAATGAAGGGGTGTGGGTATGCATCTTGCAGACACAGTTGGAGATTCTACCCTCAGGCCATGCTCCCCAAGGACCCTGCCTCCTCCCTCTGGCCATTTACAAACCCTGACTCACCCCAGTTCATGGTGAGGGGAGAGCTCCCTTTCGGCAAAGCAAGCACAAGATTATGTCTTGTTTTTCTAAATGATCCACAGGGTGGAGACAAAGGCAGGGGACTATCTTCATTTCCCAGGGAACCAGCCCAAAGCCACTGAAGGGCTCAGCTGGGAACATCAGAGATCCCTAGACCTCTTTCTGGACCCCTAAAAAGGCACCTGGGAGCTCTCGTTACTCTTGCCTTCGTGTAGAGCCTCAGACAATGAGGCTGGAAGGAAACCATTCCCACCAAGATGGCTTCCGGCAGCTAGAGTGGAATCGGCGAGGCCGGAGCCCTGAACAGTAGGGAGTGGCCTTTCAATATGTACAATGTGCCCGTCCTGACTGTAAGGCAGTTCTCTTTGTGGGCCTCTGCACCCTGGTGGCATGCCTCTCTCAACCTGGTGGTCCCAACAGGCCTCTTCCATTAGCTTTGGCCTGTCCCAACCCCTCCGCGTCGCAGTTCTCCATTGGGCCTTCCCTCAGCTGCTCCAGTCCCCTGGAGGATCTTCTGTCCCAATTCCCACTGGCCTCGGCAGCTCACTCTGACTCACTCCCTCCTGTGGGTTTTTGTCTCCCAACTGCACTGCTAGTCCTCGGAGGCCAGGAACGGAGGCCTTGCAGTCCTCAGCTGGTGCAGGGCACTGTCACTGTTCAGCAGCAGATCTACTGGCAGTAATAACGGCCGCTTACTGAGCACTCACGACATGCCAGGCCCTGGTCATATGCACACTTTATCTGTATTAGCTCATTTATCCCTCATAGCAACCCCATGAGGTCCTTATTATAACCCCTATTTTCCAGATGAAGAAGCAAAGGCACAGAGAGGTTATATAACTTGCCCAGAGTCTCACAGCTAGTAGGTAACTGAGCGGGGATTTGAATCTTGGCTACCAGTGCCAGAATCTATCCTTTCAATCCGGACATGAGATGCCTTCCTATTGTGAACTAAGGTAGTTACCCAATAAATTCCTTGTTGAAAAGTAACAAGGAGTCAAGTGTTCCCTCACTAACTCGGTGATTCATTAAACATATTTATTGAGCAGCTATTACGTAACAGGTAGTGAGGCTACAGAGAATGCAATTAGGCTCAGCCTCTGAGTCCACAGAGCTGCCAACCAGCTGCTTACGGTGACTCTGCAGGTGAAAACAGGTATACCTGGTTCCTTCCCAGGCAGGTGTCACTGGATGAAGCAGCCTGACTGTCTAGAGGTCTGAAAACAGCCCACATTAGGCCTCTTACCTCGGGGATAATGCCTGGCCACGGGAAAAAGCCTGCCTTTCTGAACTGTCTCCCTCTGGGCAATGCCAGAGCACCTGCAGAAGGAGACCAGATACTGCCAGAGGGCGAAGCATGGCTGGGCACAGTCCCATGCTCACCCCTAAAGACCAGGGCAGAGATGCACCAGAGACCCTAAAACAAGAGTGGGCTCTAGGAGGACAACAGCTGCAAAATGATGACATTTTCTTTTTCCTTTTCTTTTTTTTAAAGACTTTTTTATTTCCAATTTTCATTTATTATTATGATTTAATTTGGTATAGAACAGGTGTGCTCACGAGAGAATGAAAGAAGGAAAGAGAGAAAGCAAGCCACCGGGTCTGGGACTCAAACCAAGGTCAGTTTTGTGGGAGTCCAGCTCCTTAACCACCATGCCACCTGCTGGCCCAAATGGTGAATTTTTTCAAAAAAGAATTATTTTATTTAATTTTATTTATCCATTCATTTATTTCAATTTGACCAGAGAGAGAAAGGGAGAAAGCAAGCCACCAGGTCCAGGACTCAAACCGTGGTCAGCCATGTGGGAGTGTCCAGCGCTTCAACCACCATGCTACCTGCTGGTCCCCAATGGTGACATTTTCTATGACATATGAAGAGAAGTGTCCAGAGGGACCAGAGGGAGGGTAGTTGAAGTGAGATCATATGTCACAGTCCCGCCCACTGAAGGGCACTGTTGGCACAAAGCTCTGCAGGGGGGAGCAGGGCACTGACCTGGAACCCGGAGTAGAACTGAGCCGAGCTGGCACTGTAACACCTCCTGGTGGAAGGCAGCCTTTCCCATGGGCTCCTCCTACCTTCTTGTCTCCAAATGCTCTTTTGGGGCCTGCTTGTGACTCCTGAAATGCCCACCATAAGATGTCCAGATGGTGCAGCGGTAAGACGTGATGCTCTGCAGGGCAACCCTATGTGGGGAGGTTCCCAGTTCAAGTCTAGAGTCCTCCCTGAAGATGCAGAGCACATACCTGCCCATGGCCCAGGGCTGGCTGAAGCTAGAAGTGGATCGTGTTGTCAAGACCCTGCTGGGGGTCCAGCCACTGTGGCGCCATTGGTAGCATACTGGGCTGGCAGAGCTGGAAGCCACATGCCAATCATGGTTTGAGACCCCAGTCTGAATGGCCTAAAACATGCCGAGGGCATGCATGTGTGCCCAGGATCTTGGCGAGCAGAACTGCAGGTAGTGGTTCACGGCATGACTAGGACTTGTGGAAGGTGCTTCTCTTTTTTGCTTGCTTTCTCATATTTTTTGTTCTTTTTCTCTCATGCGCCCACACACATTCTATCATCATCCACAGTATAAAGACCCAGGTGGGTGTGCTGAATCTCTGTATCTCTCCCTCTCTCTCTCACTCATGGAAGAAAAAGGTAAACAAACTTTTTAAAAAAATAACATGCTTGGCTCCCAAATCCCCTGGTTTCAAATTCTGGGGCGTATTTGCCAGTGAACGCCTTGAAATGAAGCTGCCTTCTTTCCCTGCATGACAGCTGGCTGAGAGGTGGGCCAGAACCTAAGGGTAAAGTGGCCACAGTGGTGCCCAGGGCGTGAGGTACTGTGTGGGGAGGAAGCCCCTTTCAGAGCAGTGGTGGGCGGGGCAGCCTGGGTGCCCTCTCCCCAGCCTGGAGCAGGTGAGGGGGCAGGGGCAGGCCATGCCGCAGGCGCTGAGGCCTGGGGGGCGGGGTCACAAGTCCCCAGTCAGTAAGTGGCACCCTGACTATGAATGGGCCACACTATGAATAGTGCTGCGGCAAGTCACTGCTCCTCGGACAGCTGGCTCGCTCTTGCCAAGGCCTGCGCACTCTTGGCCCTCAGAGGGGCACATCCACGACCCCAAAGGAGCGAGAGCTTACGTTGCCACGGATTCCACCTCCCGTGTCCAACACACCCTTCCCTCGCCTGTCTTCTGGAGCCTGAGTTAGTGACCCCGGAAAGGCCAAGCTTCAGGAGGGCGAGCTCTAGTCCTGAGCTGGGCCCTGGCCCTAGCCAGGCTGTTTGGTTTCCACAAGCCGCTGGGCCCGGTTCTGCAAGCCTCTGCCCGGCATGCCGCTGTGGGCGGTGGCGGAAAGCCGGAGTTGCGCTTTGGAGACAAGGCAGTGGGGGTCTGATTTCAGAGTTGGAAAGATGCGGGTGGATTCCAAGCAGCAGGGTCACCAGGGGCCCAGGAAAAGTGTTCTTTCTTGCTGGACTCCAAGATGGCAAGGGTCGCTCTCGGCCTGGGAGGTAAGGGTGGGGAGGACGGGAGGAGAGAGCCACGGAAGCGGATAGTCGCGGGCCGGGAGGCCCATCCGCCGGAGCACCTGGCAGCTGAGGCCGAGAATTCCCTCGCACGTGCCGGGTAATTAATAAACGGAGGAGCAGGGGAGGGGTGCGACGGCTCGCCAGAGAAAGGATTTAATTAGCAACGCTTTCAGGAGAGAAAATTCAATTACAACAAACAATGGTGTACTCCGAGGACTGCGAAGCCCCCAAACTGATACCTCGGTCCAGGTGCGCGCCAGAGCGTTTCCACTGCCCGCGGCCCCGCCCAGGCCGGGGTACAAGGGCAGCGCAGGGCTGGGGGCCAGCCTGGGCTTCGGCTGCGTGCCGCGCTCCGCGGTCGCCCCTGGCCATCGCCATCTCCCGGCCGGGCCCAGGCCCTGGCTCTGGCT